AGTTCTCACCTCAGATCCTTCCTGAGTCCCAGGGACCCACTTCCTCCCTCCTTTCCCTCGTGCTGCTATATTCCAATGTAAGGACATCAAATGTCAGAAGCTCTTTCTTTGCCACTCACCACTCCACCATCTTCCCAGATGTCTCTTCCCTGCAAAATTTAAAACAGGTAAAATGAACACATGCCTAGAAAATATTTTGAAAACTCACCTTAAGGAAAAACAGAACGCCTGAAAAATCTTATCTTCTTTTAAATGGGGTTAGTAGTTAATAATCTTTCCACAAGGAAAACATCTCACACCCCCGTGTCTTTATGGGTAATTGTACAAAATGTTGTCTTTTTTAAACAAGCCTTATTATACGTCTCATACAGTTGCTCAGATTACAGAAAAAGATCCTCAGCCTAACATAAATACTATGATCTTAAAATCAGATAAATTCAATAAAAACAAAGGTAAATTATAGACCGATTCACTTGTGAATATAGACAAAAATGCCTTAAAACTATTTGCAATCTCAGGCAGAGATGACCTCGGTCCTGCTGCTCTTGAAGGGCAGGAATAGTGTTGGAGAGAGGTCAACGTGAGCGTGGGGCAATGGAAATTAACTGCATCTTTTATCATTGGTGACAGGTGAACGGATGACAGCTGAGCTGTGACCGCTTGGAGGTTCCCTTATACCTGTCTCTCCTTCCTTTAGTCTCTGTTGCAGGCATCTCTCCACAAAGCCTGTCCCTCATGGGGCAGGCTGAGCAGCCCAGGTACCAGCAAACCAGAAGTTCCCTAATTGGTGGTGACCAGTACAGGCTCAACACCTCTTACCCTTGAGACAAATTAGGTTGCGGTGGGTCACTGCAGAGGTGGGAGACCTCCCAGAGCTACAAAAGAAGAATGGAAGCACTTCTCTTTGGCTCAGATTTTTTTTTTTTTTTTTGTAGTTCAGGTCTTGCTATATAACCCAGGCTAACCTCAAACTCATGATCTTCCTGCCTCAGTCTCTTGAGTGTTGGAATTACAGGCATGTGACACAGGCCTGGTTTCAAAAAGTAACTTAGAGAATTGGGAGCTTGAGTGTTCAAGGAGTGAAGGGCAGCATTTCTCAGAATGTCCCCAACTGCTGACAAAAATGTCTCTTTTTCGAATGACTCTGCAAATTCGTGAAGCTGGGGGTGGGGGATGTTGAGGATTCCTTCAAGCCCATTATTCTTTGGAGAGGTTCCCAGGAATCTTTGTTAGAAGTTCCCAGTATTTCAGCATTAGAAGATGTCACTTAGGGTCACTCTGCTGCACCAAAGAGAGGCTTACTAAGAAAATGCCTTTCTTCCTTAAGTCAAGTGATTTCGGTGGTATCATGCTCCTCCAGCATCTCCGATTTTCAGCCACAGATTAAGATATGAATAGTGTTCCCAGGAATTGTGCAGTGCATGCCCATATATGGCAGTCCACGGGGCAGCTCGGGAGCAGTTGAATGACATTGGGGGACTGGGCTGGCCAAGACTTCCAACAAGTTTCCACCCCAGTCCTCAGGAGCTGAGATTGTTGCTGCTGAAAGATGTAGTAATAGAGATACAGTAAGAAAGCAGTAAACTAGGATGGACAGATACAACAAAATAGCTGGCATGGTGGTGAGGTATGGGGACAGGGCCTGGCACTCCTGCAGGCCTCACTTGGCTAGGTGCTACCTAGACCCTGGGCATCACCTCCTTGGAACAATCAGCCTTGCCAGCCACAACTCCAACTCCTCCAAGGAAAGAATCTAGAGTCCAAGGGAGCTCTTGGCTACTCTGACATACAAACTCCCGATGGTAGAATTTTGTCCTCCCAAATCAGTTGTTATTGCAACCAATGTGTTGCTATGTAATCATAAAAACAACTTCATTTTCTCTTCACATTTGCTATCTTTTCTCACCCCTAGAAAAATACAGGGCAGATCTCCTAACCTTTCTGGTCATTCTTAGATAATAAAACCTTGCAGGGCTGGGAGTGTAGCTCAGTGAAAGAGCATTGGCTTAGCATGTGCACTGTCTTGAGTTCAGGCCCCACCACCGTAAAACAAAACAAAATAGAAATCTTGCAATCACTAAAAATGGGAAATTTTCCACTCAATTATTTTAAATGTCCAGTCCAATGCACTAATCATATTTTCCATGATTATTCATAGGTAAGACTTCTCTCTTCTCCACCAATTGGGCCTGGGCATAGGGTAGGGTGTGCTGTGGGCCTCCAGGAGCACAACCTGTGGAACAAAGCATAAAGGGCAGGGTCAGCTCCTCTAATGAGTACTGTTGCGAGAAGTCTGTGCCCTCTGCAGGCTGGGTAGGTACTGAATGCTGAGCCTTTCATGGGTACTTCGGAGACTCCCCTCCTAACTCTGAGCTGCCTGTCGATGACAGGCTCTCTGTTGGACCCCTTCATCCTTGTCATCTCCCTCTTGGACAGGACTTCCTGGGCACCAGGCAGAAACATCTGTGCTACGGATTCTACACTTGTCGAAAGACACTGTGAGCATTTGACTCAGGAGTGGTCAGGCCCCTGTGCTCCCCTGACCTAACTGACAATGATCAAATGATTCACTGAAGCTCCTCTTCCTTAGTTGAGATGAGACACAGAGGCTCCCACCCATCTCTTCCTCTTGGGGACAGAGGGTGACTTATAGCCCTGTTCTGCCCTAGGCCATACAATTCATAGTTCCACTTTTCTTTAATTTCTCATTCTATACTGTTAGTACCCAGCAACTGGAAGATAGCATACACGCTTTAGTCACTTTTTCAATTGTGCACCTAGTATGACACCTTCTAAGTCAGCTGCCATCCTATCAGGTGCAACCATAGGACACTGCCATAGACAACCATTTTAATTTACCAAATAGTAATTTTATACAGTTCCTTAGCTGAAACATCCATCTCAGAATCCTGTTAGACCAATGATTAACAAGCACTGACTGCCCTTTTTAGATGCCAGCCCCCTGTGGGCACCAAAGATGGCGAAATGAACCAGCCAAGATGACTTTCCTGGTGTAATGGGCACAAGAAATGCAAAAGAAAATGTAAATTTGAATTGCGTTTCTTTCTCCTTCCAAACTTCCAAAAGCACCTGCACCCTTATCTGCTAAAGGCTGGAGGACCCCAGTCTGAGGAGCCAGAAGGCCACACTCCTCCAAATGGTTCCTGGGGTTTGAGAGCTGCTGGATCTCAGCCCCCTACTGCTGCTTCTCTCTTCCAGCTGAAGAGCGATCAAAACCAGATTGCCTCAGACCTGAACTGACGAGCACAGCTATCACCAGCCATGTCTGGCTGCTCAACCCTGGAAATGCAGCTAGTCTGAGTTATAACATGCTATAAAAGGAAAGCACACACCAGATTCAAAGACTTTGTATAAGAATAAGAACAGTAAATGACTCATTAATAATTTTTAAAATATTGATTATATACTGCCATATTATTTTGGCTGTAGTATTCTATTAAATAAAATATATTATTCAAATTGTTAACCAGATTGTGTAAGACCTAAAGTCTCACTTCCACTCCACGGAGCGTGAACAGCCGAAAGGGCCTTCACAATGCTGAGTCCTATAGCCCAATGATGGCTCCGGATGCAAGATCCAGGGCCTTACTTCCGGGAGCCTTGAACAGCCCAATGGGACTCCAAGATGCTGGGATCTATAGCTCAGCGAGGCTCCGAGAGCTCGACGAGCAGCATAAGTCACCCAGGAAGGAACACACCAGGCTTGTTGGTAAATAGATCTTTATTAGTCTGGCCAGATGGCACTCTCAGAACTGAGCAGCTCAGAGAGGCCCAGCACAGGTTAGCACAGTTTTTTAAAGGCATGGGAAGAGGATTGCAAGCACACCAAGTGCGCCAGGGATCAAGGGGTCGGTTTTCTGCCATCTATCTAAAGGAGTCAGCTGTAGGGCTCACCTGGCCTTTCCTCTCCGACCTCAGGCTGTTCTGTTCTAACGGCCTTGAGTTGCTATCTTGTTTGCCCGTACCAGGCTTCCATACACTCTGTTTTAAACTTATCTTGGAGCTGGGTAGAAAGAAATGTGTGCTGCTATATGCTGGCTAATTGGGGGTTACATAGCAGTTAGAGTCCCACAATTGGTGGTGCATGCCTGAATCCCAGCACTCAGGAGGCTGAGGCAGGAGGACTGCCATGAGTTTGAGGCCAGGCTGGGCTATGCAGTGAGTTTAAGGCTAGTCTGAACTATATAGCAAGACTGTGTCTCAAAAAAACCCTCAAAACATTTCTTTTTTAAAAAAAAATATATTATTATTATTTTGAGGTATTGGGGACCCAGGGCCTCCTATATAACAGGGAAGCACTCTACCATGAAGCTGCATCCCCACCCCTTTTTTATTTTGAGACAGTCTAAGTTGCATAAGATGGTGAAAAACTTGTGATTCTCCTGCCTCAATCTCCCCAGTGCCTGGCATTACAGGTATGCCACATTTGGCCAATACCACATAGTTCTAGTTTATTTGAAGTTTTGTTTTGTTTTGGTATCGGGGATCAAACTCAGGACCTGGGTGCTTGCAAAGCAGACACAGTGCCACTGAGCTAAATCCCATTGAAGTTTTGCAAAGCATTCATCCCCTGCTTGCCAATCTGAGTTCATCTTCTCATTCCCATATTCCAGTCTTTGGCCAAGACTCTTTCATGGGAGTCTGGGTGTGTGGCAAACACTGTCCCACGGGTTGCGACACTGTAGTGAATCAGACAGTTATCCACTGGACACTTGCAGAAAGGTCAAACTAAACACATTCCATGAGCTGTGGAAGATTAATCATTCCTACATGTTAACGACAAATCAGTGATCAAGGAATATCTTCAGGACAAATGTTAAGCAAACCAAATAAATGAGTTATGCTTTTCTTTCAAAATTCCAGGCGGCTTTTGAAAATTATTTTAAACCCTTCAGGCCGACGTTGACCTCCTTTCCGCCAGAGGGCGATGCAGAGAAAACCCGCATTTCTCCTGGCGGTGGTACCGATCTAGACCGCAACCTGCTCATTCAGTGGCACTTCCGCCGGCGCTCACCATGTGGAGGGGGTTTCCTGTCTCGTGGCAGCCTTTCCTCAGTGTAGGACGCAGAGTTTCGGGATTGCATCTTTCGTGGCTGTCTGTTCTGTCTTATCCGCCGCCCAGCGCTAGGGCTCCAGGGTGAGTTCACTGCGGGGCGCTGGCCCATTAGGTGAAGCCAAGGCTCGGAGGCGGTGGAAGACCCCGGCGTCTGTGTCAGGAGCCACCGGTTCCCCATGGGCCTAGGTCTCCAGAGACTCGCGTGTCCTTGGGAGGAGGTCGCCCAGGGAAAGACGCCCCTCGCAGTCGGCGGCCTAGGGGGCTCCCAGCGCCGTGGACATTCAGACTCGCCTTTCGGCCTCCTACTCAAGACATTCGAAGCACGGAATGTCTTATCGTTCATTTACACGGGGTCGGTGTTGTCCTACGTCCGAGAACCAGCCGACTCATTTCTCTCCACGATCTTTCGAGGCCAGGGCTAAAAATCCCCTTTCGTACGGTTTGACTGAGGTTTCGGTTGAGGATTCTTTCAGGGTCCTAGGGGACAGCGTCGGGACTACCGTCCGCTGCTTTCACTGAGGCTCCTTCCTCTTTCTCCTGCTTAGGCCTTGTTGCAGCGCGGCCACATGGAGATGGATGGAAACTCCCCCGTGGTCGACGCTGCTGGTTCTGCAGCAGCTAGTGGCCCGGCCCTCCCCTCTGCCTGTGCAGAGACCAGATGGCCCGGTAAGTGCTGCTTCTCTGAGCACCTTGAAATGCTGGGCCTTCTGGATCGCCTTTCAGCCTACACCCACAGAACAATGGTGGTGGAGCACAAGTGGGTTCTGAGATCTGTGTGGCAAATTCCCTGTGCAGACTGAAGCCTGGTGGAGTACATGGGGGTCTGGGTTTGGGACCCATTGAAATTTAGGTCAGGTCCTGGCTGAGTTCCCGCATTCTCCTGAGCTTTACCTTCTCTGAAGTAGGGAAGCTGTAAAGATCTGCTAGAGTAGTTTCTAATCCTGGTGTCTGGCTACATGTACATAGTGCCTGTGTCTCTCTGTAGCCCCCCCCCATATATATATGTATGTTAAAGGCAGGGTCTCACTGTGTAGTTAGTTCAGGCTGGCCTTGAACTTGGCAGTCCTCTTGCCTCAGCCTCTTGAGTGCAGGGATTACAGGTGTTCACCACCATGCCTGGCAAATACTCAGTATTTGTGGAGTGAACACTTGAAGCGTTTTGACCAGAAATTTATGTTCTGGTGGGCGTTTCACGGCAGATGGGATTTTTTTGTTTTGTTTTGTGGCATTGGGTATTGGGGCCTTGCATTGAGCTACATGACCAGCATTTTTTCTTTTTTTTTTTTTTTTTTGGTGTGTTTTATTTTGACAGGATCTTACTAAGTACTTAAATGATTGTCCAGGCTATGTTCAAACTTGCAGTCCTTTTGTCTCATCCTCCCAAAATGCTGGGGTTACTGGCGTGTGCCACCATGCCCAGCTGGGATGGAATCTTGAATATGATGGCTCTCAGGGTCTTGGGCTCGGTGGGGCAGCTTCCCCTCTCCAAACTGTTGATGAGAGTTACCATGCTTACATATTAGCTTCCTGGTTCACCTGGCCTTTTTTGTCCCTGTATTCGAAAGTGATTGTGGGCTGCCTGTGCCCTGGTCATTGATACTGCAGGAAAAGGAGCTGCTGAAAGCCTTTCCCCGTGTTTGGAGAGCTGGCTCCTGTCCCTTCCAAACTCTGGAGCTTTCTCACAGCTTGGCACCTGGTGTCTGGCTTACTGTATCCTCTGTGCCACTCAGTGCTGTTGTCTGAAGCTTTAGCAGAGGAAGCTGGTAGGTGGATAACAAAGCCACAGAATGGGTCACCGTTTCATCATCACCTTATGGTGACCAACCCATTGGGAAATGTTGGTTTGCTGAGTTTTGTCTCTGTACTGTGGTCTTCTTTCTTTTTGATACTGGAAATCAAACTCAGGACCTTGCGCTTTCCAGGCAGGTGCGGTGCCACTGAGCTACATCCCTGCTGTCTGTACTGTGATCTGGAGGGGAGTGTCTGAGTCCTAACTCTTGATTTACCTCATGCCTTCCAGATTCTCAGTGTTTGGCACTTACGGAACAAATGAAAAACAAAATGGAAAGAAGAGAAGCCCAGTGTTGTAAGGTAATAGACCTCAGATATTTTGGCACATCAGGGACATAACTTTTGAGCAAGTCCCCTGGTCCACTGGGTAGATGTCTTCATGGATTGTCATTTCAGTGCCAGGAACAAAGCAGGTAGAGCTGGGCATGGGTGATATAGTAAAATGAGCCATGGAATCTGGTCCCTAGATGATAAAAGTGGGCCACCTTCACAGTGCTTCACGTCATACTGCCTGCCACGTGTTGTGGCACACTCAAGCCTTCCCAGGTTCGGAGTCCATTCATTGTACAGATTCAGGGCCACTGCAGACTAATCCACCTGTGTATTAGATGAAACTGAAGATATCCCTGTGTAGTCTTCTCTTTAGGTGAGCTCTTTTCATATAACTGAGACAACAGACCACTGTTTATGTGATAACGCCAATTTCTGTGAAGCATTTACCACCTGCCGGCTTCTCCATGTACTGCTGCCCAGGATAGGTTTGACCAGTGACTTTTGTGTGGCTAACTCGGGCTTGTTTATTGTAGAGGTGGCAGCTTGGTGCAGAGGGGGCGTGAAGGTGTCTCCATCCTGCCAGAAAGCAGTTGGACCATGTTACTCCCAAGAAGTGTGTCCTCTGGAGATCTTCCTTATCTGGGAAGTAAAAGGAGACTATATGAAGCCTGCTTCATCTGCTTCTTAGTTTGAGATGCATCTGGCTCTTGCTGCGCCCATTTGGGTTCCAGGGTTTACAGGGCTCTGTCCCTTCCTTTGGTGTATGGGTGGCACAATGTCCGAATGAAATGCAGGAAGGGTTTTGGCATTGTACTGACCCATGCCCATGCCCAAATGCCTGTCACTTCACTGCTGTGTCATAGCTTGGGAAGCCCACCCACATATTTGGTTTTCTTATCAGGAAAGCATGAGTAAAGTGATTTTTCTTAGGATTACATTGTTCCTGCCAACTTTTTTTTTCATTTTTCGTTATATTGAAGTGTAACTGACAAGTAAAATTAAATATAGTCAAAGTGGGCAACTTGATGTTTTCGCTGTTTGTGTACATTATGAAATAAAGACCACAAGCTAACATTCATTACTTCACATAGTTAACTCTTCCTTCTTCCCTCTCTCCTTTCCTTCCTTTTTTCTTTCTCCTTCTACTCTCCTTCCCTCCCTCTCTTTCCATCTCCCTCCCTCCCTCCCTTCATTCTCTGCCTTTTTGGGGAGACTGCTCACAGTCTACCTTCTCGGTTATTTCAGATACACAGTCCCATGTTAACCACATATTCACACTGCTGTACACTGCAACATCAGAACTTGTTTACTTCCCACAATTAAAGTTCATTTCCTTGATGACCTCTCCCCATATTCCTCTCCCCAAGCCTGTGACAGCCACTGTTCCAATCACCACTTCTACAAGTATGACTATTTTAACTTATATATATATATGGATGAGATCTTCATGGTGGTCTCTCACTGGGACGAGCTTCTCGTGGTGGAGCGCAAGAGTGGAGAAGCACTTTCACATTTCTGTTCCAAGCAAAAGGCTGAGGCAGAAGGATTGCCATGAATCCAAGTCTAGCCAAACTTCACAGAGAGACTCTGTAAACAAACAAACAGACCAAAAACCCTTTTGCTCCAAAGAGACAGAAGTCACACCTGCTTCCTTCCATGAACCAAAGCAAGTCGAAGGCCCAAGTCCAAAATCAATGGAGTGAATATTGCCTTGGGAGAGAAAATAAGTGTTTGTGGCCAGCTGGTGCAGCCTGTCACAGGCAGAGGTGGTGGCCGGAGTGGAGACAGACCTGTGAGCACAGGGCCACCTAGGATAGAGCCCATGCCACCTTTCTTACTTGGGGGATCTTCCCTTTGCCTCTCTTGGCTGGGGCAGGTTAAGTTTACATAGGACAGGATGACAGCTTCTATCTAGATCTTGTGCTCTGTCCTGCTGCTGTCCTGAATTAGGCCATTTTCCAAGTGTCTGACACTAGCCAGCATTTTCAGCAAGCCCAGTGTCTATTTCTACCTCTCAATTCAGAGTGATTGTAGGTTGCCTGTATACTGGTCTTTGGTAATATAGGAAAAGCCATGAAGTTTTCCTCAAGTGCAGAGCGTCCATTGTCTCTTCCAGAGAGATTGGCAGTGACCTCAGCATGTGCAAGGCAAGCTGTCAGTGCATTCACTATCCACAACTGAAGAATGTCATAGCTTCCTGGACGTGCTATAAACAGTGCCAAATGGGCCGATCCCATGTTAGCTTCTTCTCCCCTGCAGGTGTGTCACATGTCTGCTGGTGAGTGTGTGGGAGATGTCCTCAGGGTGAACATGGATGGTGATGTCTCAGGTAAGTGGTGGTGTACTTGGTTCTCTAGAACTCAGGTTTATTGTGGGAGGGGGTTCAGTGGAGTTTAGGTGCTGCAGAGTGTGGAGTGAGAGCTTGGATGAGGACTGCTTCTGTTTGTTCCTAGTTGTCTCCTTGGCCAAAGGACACTCGGGCCCTCTATTTGTGGGACTGCTGTGGAGAAGGTGCTTTCAGAGCTGGGTTTGGGCTCTGAGCATCCCTGACGAAGGCCCTGTGATAAGAGGAAAACAACAGTGTTGGAATGGGGAGGGCTGGCTACCTGGAGACCTAACTAGGTGCATAGCCATTGAGCAGCCTACCGGTCTTTGAGCCTCAGTGGATGATACTCAATATTGTTACCACGCAGATCCAGTCTCTTAGAGCTCGAGGATGCTCAGTGGTTCTGCCAGTGTTTGCCTTCCCTTCAGTTCTTGGCAGGGAATGCTAACTGATCTCTGAGTCATGAAGCAGTTTCTGTCCTCTCTACTGTGAATCTATTCATTGCCCTGTGTGCTGGTCTTCCTTGGTTCAGCCATTTCCTGGGATGCCGGCCATGGCTTCTATTCAACTTAGCCTCTGCCCTTTTCTACCCTGTATTCGAAAGTGATTGTGGGCTGCCTGTGCCCTGGTCATTGATAGTGCAGGAAGAGAAACTGCTGAAAGCCTTTCCCCGTGTTTGGAAGGTCTATACCTGTCCTTGCCAGACCCTGGAGCTTTCCCACACCTCCTCCTTCCTACCTTTTAGATGCCTCCTGGCTCCTAACATCCTCCAGTTTAGTAAGTTGCTCTTTTCTGTGGCCTGGGGCAGGTTTCTGTGACATCTTGAGAGAAGAGTGTGGAAGCCTTGACCTAACCAGAGTAGTAGGCTAGGCTGGTGTGGAGGCTGGACAGCAGCCTCCTCTTTCCTCCAGCTTTCTCCATCTCCACCCATCCCTCACTTGGCACTAGTCAGACTGGGTGGAAATTACTGCTTTGCTTATCTCCTAGCTTGTCTCTAGTAATCTTGAGGGCAGCACATTACTTCTCTGTCTTCATTTGCTCTGCCACATGATCAGGTTTCTGTCAGCATAGGACAAAGAAAACACAAAGGGGATTCCCTTTGCTGTAAGGAGCTGGGTGGCATTCATAGCCTTGCAGGGTATTGGGTTGAGGGTTGCTGAGTAAGCAGTCTGTGCAGAGAGGTTCAGGGCAGGAGCACATTGGTTTTTTCTCCTTGGAGAAATTTTCAGCTGGTGGCCTCTAGAAAGGCTTTTCCAACTCCAGCCTGTGAGTACTGTGGTGAGGACCAAGGATAGGCGGAATAGGATATAATGGAGAGGTTTATGGGAGTGGCCCTTACTAACACAGCCCTCCTACTGCCCTGTCACCTTCCGCAGGTCTGTGCCAGATGCTGCCAGCGAAGTAGCACATTGAAGAATGTCTTGGCCTTAATGTTCCTTTGATTATAATGTTTAATAACACTTGTCACAACAGACATGTCCTACCTGTCTTAGAAGATCTCCAGTCCTTTCCTAGAGGTAAGCTGCTTTTCTCCTTCCTAAAATGATGGTAATACAGTTAACGCTTGTGCACCACTGTATAGAGAGGCTTGATGATAAGTGTCACAGGATCAGACTGGGCTTAGAGGTCCATGCTCTGAAGTTACTGCTTTTTGTACCCTGTAAAGTCAGGTTCTTCCCTGGTTCTTTGGGTAGTGATGAAGGGGGGTTATGAGGATGAGAAGAAGGGGGATGCATGGATCCCCGGATCCATATTTCCTTTCCCTGGGCATCACGTCTTGCTGGGTTTGGGCCAGCAAACCCTGATGGAGAGACAAGTGAAGATGCCAGAGATGGAGAGAATCTTTGAACCTCTTCACCAAAAGGAAACTTCACCAAAATGAAGCCCTGATTGACTCAAACTCCCACATTTATTGAGGAACAACAAAGGCAATGCCTCTTGCTGAGCACAGAGGTTTGTCTCAGGTTAGCAAGGCATGGTGACAGTTTGGCTGAATTACTAACTTTTATCTTACCTGTCCCCTAAGGAGCTTCCTTGTTTTCCCCATAAAGTACATTTTTGCTCGGTTGGCAAAACATCCCATCTTCAAGATGTTCCGTCTTCTTGGAGTAAGACTTTCACCTCCAAGTCAACCTGAGCAGACATTGACCAGTTGGGTATCATAGAAACTCTACAGTCTGGCCCCACCTTTTTCTTTTTTGAGACATGGTCTTACTGTGTAGTTTTGGCTTGCCTTGAGCTTACTGTGTAGCCCAGGCTGGCCTCGAACTTGCAGTGATCCTCCTGCCTCAGCCTCCTGGGTGCTGGAATTACAGCCGTGCGCCACCACAACTGGCACCACATGACTTTTGGGGCTGTGAAGGACATGGCATTTCCAGAGACCTGCCTGTAGAGAATTTTGGGCCTTTTCCTGTGTTGTAGCAGCATCAAGCTGTAACAGGAAGTGGGTGGATTTAGGCATCAGAGACATCCATACCTACCTCTTAATCCCCCCTCTGCCACCATCTCGCTCTGTGATCATCATTGTTCTAGTTGTGCCCAGTGGTCAGGATGACAGCCAGATAAGGGAAAAAGGACTGAAGGTCCAGCCTGGAGAAGCGGGTGTGCGGACTTCCTGAGGCTCTCCCTTCCTCACAGTTACGTGGAACCCATTTTTCCCTTAACAGTGAATGGAAACGTCTGTAAGGTATACCAGAGTAGCCCATAAGAGAACCCAAGGCTCCTACTGAGGGCTGGTCATGTGGATGCCTTTTGCCTTGCAGGTACTACAATTCTGGACTCAGGAGGAAGGCAAGTGTTGAGCCCAAAGCACATTGTTTGCATAGGGTCTGGGGCCAGGGAGCTGCTGTAACAGCTACTAAGAATGTGCTGATAGCCATTCAGACCACAGTCAAGGGCCAGTTTCCTGATGGGGAAAACAAGACTTTTATAAACATGATCATGTGCTTCTGATCTCTAGGCCCTAGATTTTTGTCAGAAGTGTTTCTCCTTTGATTGCCACATGGCATTTGTGGGATCCCTGCGCTCTCTTCCATTTGGACCAGGCATCTGACAGCAGGCTCCCATCCATCTTGGTTTTCTTCCCTCTGCCCTATGCTACCCTGCATTCGAAAGTGATCAAGGGCTGGCTGTGCCCTGGTCATTGATAGTGCAGGGAGAGAAATGTTGAAAGGTGTTTTCCCCGTGTTTGGAGGGTCCACCTGTCCCTTCTGAACCCTGGAGCTTTCCCACACTCTTTCTGCCAGCCTTATAGGAAAACAGTGCTTCTTGGACTACTGTGGGAATCAGCAGCATGGGGACACTGTGCCAGTGTCTTTTTTAGCTTGTCTTGTTTCCAGAAAGCAGGCTGTCTATATACTAGATGTTACCTAGCAGGGTCAGTACTGTTAGGGATTGCTCAGGATTCATCTCCCCCCTTTTTTCAGTCTGTTCCACTTATAAGGGAGAGCATGGAGTATTTCTTTATCTTATTTCACTTAGCATGATATTCTCTAGGACCATCCATTTGTCAAATGACAGGATCTCCTTTTTCAAGGCTAAACAATATATTTGTGTGCGTGAGTATGTGTGTGTTTTCGATATAAGTTATAGAGAACATTTTCTCTGTTCATCTCTTGATGGTCCTTGGAGTGGGATATGATAAATGATGCTGCAGTGAATGTGCGAGTACCTGTGTCTTTGAAGCAGTGGTGCACTCCTTTGGGTATATACCAAGAAGAGCAAGAAGAGGGATTTTTGGCTTCCAGCATCTGTTTTTTTTGTGTGTTTGTTTGGTTTTTTTTCTTTGGTAATTTTGAGACAGGATCTCACTATGTAGTTGAGACTGACCTGGAACTTACTATGTAGCCCAGGCTGGTCTCAAACTCACAGTGATCCTCCTGCCTCAGCCTCCTGAGTGCTAGGATTACAGGCGCAGGGGTGCGCCCCCACACCCAGTTCAGCATCCTTTTAGTGTATACTGATGAGCCAACAGCTGGGTCACAGTTGGTACGTGATAATGTGGATGTCATTCCCATTACAGACAGTGTGCAGATTCTTCCTCAATTAGGTTTCCTTGCTCTTGGGGTAGCAATGTGGCTGCAGAGTTCACTTGGTACAGCCAGCACTTGTGGGATGCTTGTGATGTGCTAGCCACCATGCCAAGCGCTCTCTGTCTCTGTTGGAGTTTGGTGTGCAGTGTGCTGAGGCTGTACCTGGACGTGTTGTCTATAGAGCCTGCAGATAAGATATTTGGACTATTCTTTTAGCATATTGTTTTGTTTTACATTCTCTCCAGCATGTCTGCCAGTTAGGGCCATCCAGAATCCTGTTTTTCCCTGACTCTGGGGCTCTGAGGTGTCAGTGGTGTCCTGTGATGAGAAGTGCATGGATTCAGGCACCAGCAACTCTGATCCTCTGTGTGAACCTGTCTAGCTGTGTGAGCTCTCAGCCTCTGCTTTATCTGAAAGGCTAAGCTGGGATAACATGTTTTGATTTGTTTTCTTTTCTAGTGTTATGACCACATGCTCCTGACCTTTTTCAACTAAAAAACATACCCAGTATTTGTATGCTGAAAGTGTCTTTTGACTTCCTGTGGTCTGAGGAGACAGCGGCAGGAATTTGGATGCTGGGCTCAGGTAGGCTGTCTCCCTGACTCAGGCCATTCCTAGTCCCCTGGCACAGCCTCTCTTTCTTCTTGGCTCTTCTGCCCTTTTTTGCTCCTGTATCCGAAAGTGATCTTGGGTTGCCTGTGCCTCGATCATTGGTAGTGCAGGGAGAGGAACATTGAAAGACTTTTCCCCACATTCGGAGGCACCACCTCATCACTTCCGAACCCTGGAGCTTTCGCACACTCTAGCCTCCTTCTGCCAACCCTTCAGACTTTGGGCCTTCACTGGCCCTTGTGTGGTACCATGACTGGCCCAGCTTCCTGACTTGATATTTACTTTGTCTTCTGAAATAAAAGATCTTTTCACTAGATACCAGTCTATGCATTTCCATTTGGTCTTCATACTATAATAAATTCTGGCAGTGCTATAGGACACACAGGAGAGTTGTAAATTGTAGATTCTGCTTTACAGATTCACTCCCATGAATTTGTAGGAGCAAAGGATAATCCATATAATGCATTTTTCAAGACAGCCATGGTGTAAATGCTCATTTGTGTGTCTTTTCTTTTCTACTGTACTCCCCTACCTCTTTTACTTACTGAACCCAGGACCTTGTTATACATGCTAATCAATGCTCTACCACTGAGCAACACCCTTAACACCCTTAGTCTTCTTTCTTTCCTTTTTTTTTTTTGAGATAGAGATTTACTTTGTGGTTCAGGCTGGTCTTGAACTCAAGGCGATCCTTCTTCCTTCCCTTCCCTAGTGCTGGAATTACAGATGTGCACTGCCATACCCATACTTGCCAGCCTTACCCCTTAATTTTGAGAGAAAGTCTTGCTCATTTTCGAAGGCTGGCCTTGAACTGTGATTGTAAGCACAGGCCACCACACCTGGCAGTCTTTTACCCTTTCTTGAAAAAAAAAATGTGCACTGCTTCTCCAGGAGCCACCAGGAGTATCAGACAGAAAGAGTAACAAAGCTAGGGGTGATGTCAGAGCAAAGGGGAGAGTTCTCTCAATTCGGATTCATGTTTTGTATAGTTGGGGGCATTAATATTGGGTGCATATATATTTATGATTGTCATCTCCTCTTGGATTATTCCCTTTACAAGGATGTAGTGACCCTCTTTGTCTCTCTTGATTAGCTTTGGTTTGAAATTTACTTTGTCTGCAAACAAGATAGCTACCCCTGCTTTTTTCTGGGTTCCTGTCACATGGAGAATTGTTTCCCATCCTTTTACTTTCAGTCTGTGTGAGTTTCTTTTCTTTACTTTTTCTTTTTTTTTTGGTACTGGGGATTGAACTTGGGACCTTGTGCTTGCAAGGCAGGTGGCGGAACCACCAAGCTAAATCCCTGGCCCATGAGTTTCTTTTTGAACTAGGTGCATTTCTTGTATATAGTATATTGTTGGATTTTGCTTCTTAATCCATTCTGCCAGTCTTTCTTTTGATCGGTGAATTGATGCCATTAACATTGATAGTTATAGCTGATATGTATTGACTTTTTTTTTCTTTTTTTTTTTTTTTTTTTTTTTTTTTTTTTTTTTTTTTTTTGGTACCGGGGATTGAACTCTGGTCCTTGCACTTGCAAGGCAGGCCACCGAACCGCTGAGCTAAATCCCCGGCCTGGCTATTTTTAATTTTTTCCCCCTCTCCCTTTAATTTCTTGCCTTGCATAATGGATTTGCTCTGTTGGGCGTCAAGGAATTGTGACCTTCATTGTCTTTTTCTGGGATATTGTTTAGAATTGTTTGGAGTGCTAGTTTGGTATTCATGAAATTTCTCAGGTGTTCTTTACCATGGAGATATCTTATTTCCCCATCAATTTTGAAAGATAGTTTTGCAAGATATATCAGCCTAGGTTAGAGATTGTTTTCTTTTAGGGCTTGAAATACCTCACTCCTTGACTTGAGTGTTTGTGTTGAAGTCTACTGTAATTCTGATGGGCTTTCCTTTGCATGTGATTTGTTTCTTTTTCTAATTGCTTGTAGTGTTTTGTTCTTTGTTGGGTTTCCGGGATCTTGATTGTTATGTCTGGGTGTAGTTTTTTTGTTTGTTTGTTTGTTTTATCATGGCTAGTTGGAGTCCTGTGTGCCTTACTTACCTGTATGTCAAATTCTTTTGCTCTGTTTTTGAAGTTTTCTGCCATTAATTCTGTGAACAGTTTTTTATGTCATTTGTACTTTCTCCTGCTTTTTCATTTACTCCTATCAGTCTTGTATAATTCTTTGAGTCATCTAGGAGATGCTGGAATGATTTCTCATGGTCTTTTTCTATTTTTAAGAGATCTCTTTTCATGGTCACTGACTGCCATTCTGTCTTCTATATCTGATATTCTCTTTTCAGATTGGGTCAGTCTGTTGTGTGTACTTTCAATAGTTTTTTTTTTTTTTTTTAATCTCCTGGATATCTATTTGAATCTGTTTCATGTATTCCATTTCTTTTTATGTTGGGCATTCATGGTTTCCATTTCTTTCCTATGCCAGGCATTCATGGCTTCTATCATGGTCCTGAACCCTTTTTATCTGTTTCTGTTCTGGGGTCTCTAATCATGTCTTTCATTTGCTCACCATCTCTGTAGTTATCTGGGAAATTATTTCTGTTTTGAGTTTTTCTAGAGCCTCATTCATCTGTTATGTCACTTCCTGTGCTATCAGTTCAGGGTGTCCAGGTGGTTGATTGTCAGACTTTTCTACCTCATTTCCCTCAGAATTTGCCTTTGGTGAATGGAAGTCTGTGTTTGCGCCTTGCTTAAATGTTTTCTCATTTCTGTTTTTCTTGTTGGTACTGTCCTTGGTCTAATTCCTGGGTTAATACTTCAGTCTTCCAGATACAGCTGGTCTTTAGGTTTTGAATCTCTATTGACCCTGAAACACACTTATTTTCATAATACCAGGAAGGACAGCTGATTAGATCAATCACCATACCTTAGCCCAAGTGATACAATCAGTAACACAATAGCATCAAACACAGCTTAGAAAATGACAATTTGTGGTAGTTATTAATCTATCACCTTTGTGTAAATTAAATTAAAATTGAGGACCAGCCCAAAGTAGGCTTATAGTGAATAAATTCTTCAATATAGCAACTTTACCTTTCAGGATGGGGACTTCGAAGGAGTTGGGAGAGAGGGATAGGTAGAAGGATAGGGGAAGGTTAGAAGTGATGCCAGAGGACACAGGAAGATCATGCAAACTCTAGGAAACTGTTGAAGACAAGAAAGACAGAATGAAAGAACAAAGACAAGAATAGAACGACCTGACTGCATAGAAAGTTAGAAACTACTCACTTTCTTTTGAAACTAATGACAAGAGAGAGAAGGAAAAAGAAGAAATCTGAATAAGAACAGGAACAAAAAGGAGATGAAGAACAATGGGAGAGCAAGAGATTGAGTGGGAAAGAGGAAAAAAAAAGAAAAAGAAAAAGGAATTTGAAAAAAGTAAAAATTAAAAATAAAAGGAAAAAAATTTTAAAAATAAAAATGAAGGGCCTCCTTCAGGATATGTTTCTGCTGTCACAGTAGACAGTAGTGGGCAGCAGTGTGCAGATCTAAGTCAATTAGTCTTAGCAAGCCAACAGCAGGCTCCTGAGATTCAGGCTGATTTCTGGCTACAAGGCCCAGGTTGAGTTCCTGCCCTCCTGCAGGGTTGAACTCTGCAAGGTTCTACTGTAGATTCCAGCTGCCCTTCCCCTGTAGATAGTCCAGGTTCCGATGGGAGGTGGTGATGCCTCCAACTTAATAACTATGGTGGCGTTGTGTGCCTTTATTGTAGAGATTCTTTTCACTTTTCCAGTGGGCTTCAGTTTTTATCAAGGAGCCTGAGAAAGCCCCTCTTTTTGCCGTTCACCTCCGTTCTGTCTTCTGGAGCTCAGTACAAAGCCTTTATGATGCCCTGTGCCTCTGTGGTGTCGATCCAGGTACCAGCACAACCAGGAGGCCAGAGGTCGGTGTGCAGTAGGGGTGGGGGCCACCACTCCTCTCTGGTCTGCACTGCTTAGAGGCCTGGGGTTGGGGGTTGGGGTAGCAGCCTAGCTCCATGTGGCTCAGGCACTTCTCACCAGTCTGTACTGTTTCTTATCAGATTCATGTTAAAGTGTTCATTTCTTAAATCCATTGGAAGATTGAGGAGTTAGTCATTGGCTATAGGAAAAGAACACTGACTCTTTGTAACCCTCTTTTCTTGGATTTTTGTCTGCTTTTGTGAGTTGTTTTTGGAAACAAATGACCTCAGAAGGAATTGTCAGGGCTTCAAATCTTTGAAATCTCTTTGTAGACTTGACTTCCTGTGCTGTACTAGGTTGCTTTTGGGCCTAAGGAGCATTCTGTTACTGAGTGGTCACCTAAATGCACAGTTTGCCCTCAGCTCATATGCTGCTATGCTGCCTGCCTTAGTCTGTCTCCATGTGTGTCTTACAAGATGGAGGCATGTGAACGGTGCCTTCACTTTGTAAGTGCAAAGCTGTAACCTGGTGTCCCTAGTAATGGGTGGGCTGAGGTTGGTGGAGAGGTCAGGGTATCTAATTCCACTGGTGCTCACCGTTGGTTTAAGGGTGCCTCTGCAGTTTTCAAATGCTCTTCTACATTCAGGTCTTGTATTTGAGAATGGGATCCCGTTTCACTTTGTTTTTATTCCCATGGCATAATGATGTGGAGATAGTAATTCCTGGTACTTGGTAGTCATCTAGTGAGTCAGAACTTTTCCCTGACCTTCAAGCCTGCCTTCCTGCGCCTTTTGTGCTCCTGGTCCCGGGCTTCACAGTTCAGCCAGGTATGAGGAGTTAGTGGACAATATTGACTGTTTTAAGATAGTTTCTAAGCCAGGTGTGATGGTGCATGCCTGTGGTCCCAGCTTTTGGGAGGCTGAGGCAGGAGGACTACTGCAAATTCAAAGCTAGCTTCTTTTCTCTCCACAGCAGACCTGGTGATTGAAAACTCTGGGTGTAGAGTCCTGTTCACTTGCTGTGTGATGACCTCAAGCATTGATAACTTGTGCATTTATCTTTCAAGTGGATCTGGCATTTGTGATCTTCAAAGACCTGGCTAACAAGTCTTCCTGGAAGTTTGGCTTCTACTTGCCTTTTGGGTTGGGTCAAATTGAATGTGTCCTTGTGAAATAGGAGACAGCTGGGAGAGCTTTGTAATAGGCTGGGCAGACAATGACTGTGGTGGAAGAGCTAGGAATGGTGGTCTGTCTGTTCCTTTCATCAAGATGCCCTGGCTTCTGTGATCCCACAGGAGCTACCTGGGAGGCTAACTGGGAGGATCCCAAGTTTGAGGTTAGCCTGGACAACTTAGCAAGATTCTGTCTGAAAATAAAAGGGCAGGGGATGAAGCCCAGTGATCGAACCCTTGCATGAGACCTTGGAGTCAACCCCTACTATGCCCAAAACCAAAATAAGTTGCTGTGGAACTCATTATTACAGCCTGATGGTGAACTCTTGCTCTGATTGTGAACTTGAAAGAAAACCATTTATTAGAAAAACTTTTATTTTTCTATACTTAGGACTTCTAGTATGGTGTACATAAATTAGGAACTGTCTGTTAGCAACTTCTGTGTGATGTCAGCTTGGGCAAGAGAAAGTGGTGCTGGAGCCTCAGTACTTGTCTGCTTCCTCACCCTCCTAGGTCTCATCCTTGGATCTAGAGACTGTCAAGCCCAGGCCTCAGGGTCAATGCCCTCAGGATAGCTTGGTGTCTGAGGGTTCTGATATTTTTCTCAATGATGGTAAGTTAGTGCCAAGGGCCTGGAACCCACAGCAAGAGGCTATGTCATATTGTGTTTATGCAGATGGAGCTCTGAACCATTGTCCTCACCTTCCTTTCTCTTGGTGTTTTTCAAGGATTCTGGTGGCAGAGAATGGAGAGTGAGGTTATCACCTGAAGTGTAATTGGAGCCATGGCTGTCCCTGCAGCCTGCTCAGAACATCGGGGGACAGTTCTTCCCTCTGCACAAGAATTGGGATCCAGACATGGGGACTCCAGCCTGTTCTTCCAACGGGGCCCCTTCCTTCAGCAAATTGAGCTGTAGAACTCATCAGTGTGGAGTTCCACGGAGGAATGCAGCATGACACAGTCACCTTCCAGACACATGAGGATTCTGGGGGCATTTTAGATCTAAACCGTAACAGCATATGCTTTTCTCAAGCATATATTAAGCATTTAGAAATACAGTGTTTTTCATGTTCCAAGTTAATAAAAAACAGTCTCACATACCAAACAATTAGGCTTACAGACTTTAATTGGTACTACAGTATAATTAAGAATAATAAGTTTAAAAGTTATATTTGGGTAATTTTAAGCATTTTAAAATAACTCTTCAAAGTAGAGGCCATTAAGGGAATTAGAAATTACTTGTAGCCGAGTAAATAAAAATTCTATATATCAGAATTGTGCAATGTAGCTGAAGTAATTTTTGGAGATTTATTAGATTTACCTGCTTATATAAAAAGATTGAAATTTAATAAGTAATAAATGTAAATGAGAAAGAATTGCTTCAAGAAAATAGAAGTAATGGAAAGACCTTTGATAAAGGAGAAGCAGCTGATAAAACTGATAAATTTTAGGAGTGAAGTGGAACAGGATGGGTAGTGGCTGGAATTAAAGTTGGAAAAATATGGCTTAGTTGGTGCCTTTAAAAGTTTGAACTGCAATAGAACAAAGACTCTTTTAGGAAAAATCAAAATTGCCACAAAATGAGAAAAATCTGAGTAATGTGATTAAACTGCTCAGATAAAAACCCTAGAGATTGCACGCCTATAGTCCTAGCACTTGGGAGGCTAAGGCAGGAGGATCACCAGCCTGAACTACATAGCAAGACCCTGTCTCCAAAAACAGAAGATTCCAGGTCAGATTTGTTCACTTACTGTAACAAGAAAACTTTTGTCATTAAAGCTGTGACTGACAAGAGAAACCTTTGACCCATCCTGGAATAGACATGATGACCAAAACATTTACCTCCCATTGGTGGGGACAGTTGCTTATAATCCACTAGCAGGAATGTGAAAAGCGCTTGGCCTTGGTAATAGATTCTGCCATCCCTCCCCACCCCCCTTGGAACCAGGGATCAAACTCAGGACCTTGTGCTTGCGAGGCAGGCACAGTGCTACTGAGCTAAATCCCCAGCCCCAGACTCTGCTATCTTTATAGCTTTCATCCCAGTCTGTTCAGGGATGTGTAGGAGTCACTTTTGTTCAGACCTTTCACATTTTGCCATAGTGTTGGTTTCAGATTGCAGGCATTTGCTCCTATTAAGGCTGTAAGGTGAAAGCGCTATGTTAATCGGTGTTACACTGATTGGGATTGAAGAGGAATTACTATAAGGATGTGGTCAGTCGCCATGGAGAACAGTGAACAAAGACACCAGCCAGCTTATACCCTGGATTTGCACCAGAGTGTGCTGTGGTTGTTGCTGGCAGATAAGGACCTGAGACCTAGCAAAAGGATTACCTATACTTGTGCTGGCTGCACTTTTCTGCCTAGACACCTAAAACGTGCAAAATTACTCAATTTTTTATATTACTATAATTTTCCCATAGTTCAGGAATATGGAACTTAATGTCAATTTTGTGGGTTTTTTTAAAATCTAAATTTGATTAATAGTTTTGAGGCCAAAACAAGATAATCAGAAAGCTGAAATCAAAGTTTGTTAAACATGTGCCCCTTCGTGAGCCTGGCTGCCCCTCTAACACTGAGTGATCTGTATAAGTTCTTTAGGCATCATTTGAGCAGGTGCTTTGCCTGGCCAGTATTCCTGATTTTATCCTTCACAGAAGTGTAGTGTAGATGAGTGCAGGGCCAGATTGAGTTCCCCAGTTTAGGGTGAGGACAGCTGTAAAGGAGGACGTTTGGCAAAGTGTCCTGTGGCCAGGTGTCCAGAGGTCCCAGGTTCCTTGGTGACTAGGGTCCATGGGGTAGACAGCTTATGGGAGAAGAGGCTGCAGCCTTTGTGTCCATGAGGTCAGGTCTAGCTGTTACTGCACAGTCCTCCATCAGCCTAATCAATGCTGGCTCCTAAGAGCAAGAAGTTCTAGAGAGAAGGCAAAAAGGACCGTCAAGGAAAGAAAACTCATTTGCTGAGTCACACAGGGCCTGGCAGGTTCCCACACGAATCAAAAGCCAGGTCAGTGCGGACTCCAAGCTTAGGCCTCAGGGACTTTCATGATACACTGTCTCTCTCACTTCCTGTCCCCAGGAATTAAATGTTTTCAAAGCACTAATTTCTGGAAGATATCCATAATTACCACTTTCCTCAAAAATGTGTTCCCTCAGGAGAAAAAGGCAAACCTGAGTTCTTCCTGAGCTGCTCAGTGTACTAGAATGCAGTTCAGGACTTCCTTGCAGTGGGAATATCCTGTGAACACTAAAGACACTGGTAATGAGCACAAAAAGTGTACACCACCCGTTTTGCCTCTGTTCCACGAGGTGTACACTTTTCTCCAAGGCTGTCCCAAGCCGTACTGTGGGTGGGAGGGCTCAGGGTGACTCTCGCACCACCAATGAGATTGTAGGTCTGTTCTTTAACCTGACACCCCTAACCTGAGTGGCATCTGATTTGAGCTTTGCTCACTCTCCTGCCATGCAGGTCTAAAGTGCCTTGCATTTTACAGGTGCTCAGTAAATGTTCCTGCAGGATTATCAAGAACTAAGTGAGTACATATAGCTGAGATGCCAGATCGTCAATACCTGCCATTTTCACTCAAAGTTTTAAATTTTTTTCCAGCACCCTCCTAGTCTCTCTCCCAAGCCCTTGAGGCAAACCCCTAGCAGGTCGACACCCCCACCCCGCTCCTCACTGACCTTGTGAATTTGGAACTCCACACTGTTGAGGGAGGTCTTCCTGGGAAGAGGGAGTGGGAAGCCCTCCTCAAGCTTTGCTGGAGGAGAGAGCATAGAGGTGAACTGGGCACAGGAGACCAGGGGGAGAAAGGATGCAGGCCACGGTGATTGTATCCACTATGGATTCAGGGCTAGTTTGGGGTGGGACATCGAGAAAGGCCTGGGAAACAGTCTCATCAGGAGTGGACTGATAAGAGATCCTTGGACCTCTCTTGGCCCATTTGAGAGCCTGCACTCACCCTTGTACCCAAGGACTCATCCTGTGAAGCCCACCACCCCATTTTCTTTCAGACCAAGTTATCTGCTCTTATCTCTTAGTTGTAAAAGGCAGATGCTGAGGCCAGCCGGAGAGGACCCTAGGCAGTAGAGGGGGACTGCATGGAGGCTCAGGAAGCCTCTGTCTAGGTCACCCAATGATGTTACCTTACCAGGCCCACTGCCAGGGTTGCTTACTCCTGGAACATTCCTTATCCCTCTGCCTAACTGTGCATTATCCCTCATGCATGTCCTGGGAGCCTTACCTGACATCCAAGTCTATTTTTAGTGCCCCCTCCCAGCTCCTATAACTCCCCATTCTTTCCATTGTAGTGTTCAACAGACTGTATAGTCATTGCCTCTTACCTGCCTGCCCTCCCATAAGAGCAAGCAAGGATCAGGGACTACCAGGGCCCCAAGTGGTATACTGGCTCAACTTATTGAATGAATAAATGAACCTGATGGAAAGGGTAGAGCTCAGTCTGCACTATGGAGCGGTCAGCAGCAGCTCTTACCATTGAGAGAGGGGTATATGGTGTTGAGTGTGTAGTAGTTGAAGATGGTTTCCATGAGCTCCACCTAGAGCACAAGAGGCACCAGAGCAGGGACCAAACAAGACACGAATAAAAATAGGAGTCAGAAACATCTGGCCCTGACTCGAGAGACACTGACATGTCACCCCACTTAAAGCACAGACACTGATTGCTCACCACCATTACAGATAAGTGGCCTCTTCCTCAAAGGCCAAATTCTCACCTCTGAGCTCATTCTCTGTAAGTGTAATAGGACTGGAGCTATCCTGAGGCCATTTAGTGGCCTACCTTCTATGAATATTTTGAAATTTCATCGCAGAAATATTAATATATTTGATTATACACTCACTCTCCAGGTCCTGCTGGAAGTATTATTCAGCATATGGCATTATGTCTCACAACTTCTCAATTCCTAAACCCATTATTACCTGTGCTACTCTTATTCCAACAGTGAACATAGTTAACAGCTTTTCGTGAGACATTTTGTCAATTATCTTACTTAACTCACTGCCTTGCTTCATATTGCAGCCCCCATTTGAGACAGATACTATCGTTCCCATTTACAATAAAAGAAAGAGGATCAGAAAGGCCCAGATTTGGCCAGAGCCACAGCCAGCAGGTGGCAGAGTTGCTATCTTACTTGGAAGCTCATGCTTTTAGAGTCTATGTTCTGTTGGCTCTTTAAATGTCAGACAGGGCCCTTCATGCCTGGTTAACTTTCAGATACGGCTGTCCCATTTCCTGTGAGCCTGCAAGGCATCTTTGAGCCTGTCTCCTGGAGCTCCACGACACATCGATGGGGGTAGATATTCAAGAGATGCTGAGAGAAATGACTTACATTGATGTCACTGATGTTGGAGTGTTTCAGTTCGAGGTTCAGTTTACTGTGTAGAGAAAGAAATGTGTGTGGGTCGCCAGGCCATGGCTGGTAGCTTCTCACTGTCACCCTGGTAGAATTTGCATTGCATTTGGGGGCCAAGGCATTTTGCTTGGGACTGGGTACCTGGCAGTTCCTCCGCAGTGTTTTGCTTGTGGGCTCAAGGCTTGAAGCACACACTGACTGATGTGAGAGCAAGGGCTGTGGGTAAAACTAAGGTTTGCTGAGTGTGCTCAAAACTCAAAAAATCATGATGGTGTTAATAGTAAGTGAAAAAATGGAATGTAGAAATATATGCACTACGTATTTCCAATTACATGGAAAATGTGTTTTCTAAAAACTGGAAGGAAACAAAACTCCTAACAGACACAGTCTCTAGGTAGCAAAGTTTTGGGTGATTTTGTTTTTATATACTTTGTAATCTCTAATATTTTCTTGCGATGAACATGCATTATTTCCATGATGTGGGAACCCACAATGAGCATGCTTTATTTGTGTAATGGGGAGGTGTGCAGGAGCATGAGTTCTCTTTATCACATGGAAGCAGATAACGTGAAGAAAAGGAGAGACTGCAAATGATGGTGGCATGCACATGACATCCACCGGAGTGGAGGCAGGCAGGGTGACTGAGGATACCTGGATCACTGTCGCTGTGGAAACCAAATCCCAGCTTCCTCCATTAAGCCCCCTCCTGATGGGCTTTCTTTTTGGCTACTGTGCTGGCTTCCTTCTTCAGGAATTCTCATTTAGAGCCCTCTGAAGGAGATGTTCATTTTAACATCTCAGGGCATTTTATCAGCCCATGGACATCTAATATAAAGCTAGCAAGTAAACCAAGCATGGTGGCGCACACTTGTAATCCTAGCATTCTGGGAAGCTGAGGCAGGAGGATCACAAGTTTGAACCCAACCTGGGCAATTAGTGACTTAGTGAGACCTTGTTTTGAAATAAAATATTTAGAAAACACCTAGGGGATTTTGCTCAGTGACAAGCCCTGGCTTCAATCCCCAGTACTTTAAAAAAGCAAGGAAGTAGCTCATCTGGTGAACCTCAGCAGGGACCTGTATGCAGAGTAGGTGAGAGACAGGTCTTAGTATAGAGGATACTAGGTACATAGGACAGGTGCCAGTCCCAGGAGGCAGTACAGCCCCTGCTGCCCAAAGCCTGAACTCTTTCCTCACTGACTCACCAATTTAACACATACTTGTTTATTGTTTGGGAATCTGGTCAGGGGAGCCATAGGCAGTGCCTTGGGGTACTTTAACCCTCCTTCCAAAATCTTCCCCATTCTGTGATGTGTTGATGGTTTTTTTCAGTTAGGTGCAAGGTCTGCCACACAGCTTCTCACCCTGAACTAGACTGCCCAGCACACATTCCTTCCTTTGCATAGAGTCAGCTTCTCCACAGAAGCCTGAGAGGGGACATAGAGCTTCAGGGTGGAGCATAGAGCTTCAGGAGACCAGAAGACAACCTCTGCTACCTGGCAACTTTTCTGCACTTCTGGCTTTCTCCCTGAGGCATTGTCACTGTGCCTCTTCCAGAGGGGCATTGGATTGGAAGATGCCCCAGCTCTGGTGGAGATCTGTTTCCAAGCGTCACCTCTGATTCCATCAGTGCATCAGACTAGATGCTCTGGCCACTATCAAGATGTAAAAAGGGGAAAGAAAAATTTTGTGAAAAGGAAAAACATGGAAACAATATCTTTGTAAACAGGGAAGGGTGGAGGGTTTGAGGGGAGGGCTAGGGAATGGGGAAAAATAAGAACTTGATAAGTCATGTATAGGTACAAGACCCCAAGGATGAATGTGTAATTGTGTTGTATACCTAGTATGTACCAATATATTTAATAAAGATTAAAAAGAATGTCCCCATCCACTCTCATCCTCTCCTACGCCCTGATTTCTTACCTTCCTGTGGTCACTGAGCCAGTGATCCTATCGGAGTTCACACTGATGGTAATGGAAACACTGGTGTTCTAGAAAAGCAAAAGCCTGCTTAGCCATCATGTTGGCTCCTGATCCAGAAGACAAGTCTCCAGAAATAGAAGCCCTAGGCATAAGGCCATAGGGACACAGAGGCAGAAAGGAGCTACCCAAGCTTATGGCTGGAGGGTGCAGGGAGAGGGTGGCTTAGTGGAGGGCACTTAGAAAGGGAAGCTGAGGGAGAATAAGCCCAGACTGAAAGCAGGGAGCATTTGGATGGGGGATACTTTCAGTCTGTAAGCATGACTAAGCACTTCGGAGCAGACCACCAAGGAACAGTCACAAAAGCCCTGAGCCCTGGAGAAATTTAAGGACAGCAACAGTTGACATCTGCTTTTGAGGAGAGGACTATCCTGCTGCAGGGTTACATTGGACCAGGTGACTGAATCTGGAGACCCCCTAGCCCTGTCCCTGTCCTGTCCAGCTGTTCTATCGGGTCCCTTTCTGTACCCAGGAGGTGATCTCCTATCTGTGGGACACCTGGGTGAATGCTTGTAGCGGTACCATTGGACAGCTTAATTTGAAAATTCATTTATGCCCTACAGGCTTGTGGCAGGGACAAGGGAACACTATCATGTCCCAGCCAAAGGACAGAAAGTCTGGCTTCTACTCAGGAATGGACAACTTCAATACTGTCTTGAACAGTTTCCAAGAAGTATTAAAGATTGACACAAAAGGTGTTGCAGCAGAGGCTGCTATGTTTTAACCAAGATTCTTTGGCTTTATTGCCTGAGCAAACAGCTGGACTACATTTCCCAGCCTCCCGTGCAGTTAAGTGTGTCCGTGGGACTGAGTTTTGTCCAATGGATCCTTTGAACCTCGATGTGAATTTTAGAATCAGTTTATCAGTTGGCTTCTAAAGAAAGCAGCTGGGATTTTTAAAAATAAAAATTATAATGAATTTGAAAATAAGTTTAGAGAGTATTGCCAATGGTGATTTGATGACTTGTATTTATAACAACAGATAGTATGATGTTTTAGATTTTTAAAAAATGTATAGTAAACTAGCCAGGCTTCAGAGCTCATGCCTGTAATCCCAGCACTCAGGAGGCTGAGGCAGGTTTGGCTGAGTGGCACCACACTTGCCTCACAAGCACAAAGTCCTGAGTTCGATCCCTGGTACCAAAAGAAAAGAAAACATAGGGAAAGCAGCATACTAATGGTCCTGGCAATGATTTTTCAGATAGAAAGTTAAAAGCATAGTGGCACAGTTTGTAATAGCTAAACTTGGAAACAGTCCATATTGCCCATCAGTTGGAGACTAGATAAAGATGTGGTTTTTCTATAAAATGGAACACTACTCAGCCATAAAGAATGAGAAATTAGATTCATTCATAGGAAAACGGATACATACTGAGGATATACTCCTAAGTGAAATATATAAGTCACACATGTGTAAATACTGAATAGTTTCTCTGGAGTGAAAAACTGTAATAGTACATAAGATCCTAATGATTTAATTGACAATGTGAAATAGGAAGAAAAGGGCTAAAGGTGAGGGGAAAGTGAGAAAGGTAGGGGAAAGGTAATAAGGGAAAAGAAAAAATATGAGAAAATGGAAATAAAGTGTTTGTAAATGGGGAGGAGAGGGGGGGGTGGAGGGAGGGCAGGGACAAGGGGGAAAAAATGAGAACCAAGACCTATCATGTAAAGGTACAGGATCCCAATGATGAATGTGATTGTATTGTATACCTAGATTTGTACCAATAAACTCAATAAAAAGGAAAAACATAAGTAAAGTGAATCCCACTAGGCAAGCTGTCATATTTAGAAAATCAATGGTATTAAAAGTGGGGTGGAGGGAGGGCAGGGACAAGGGGGAAAAAATGAGAACCAAGACCTATCATGTAAAGGTACAGGATCCCAATGATGAATGTGATTGTATTGTATACCTAGATTTGTACCAATAAACTCAATAAAAAGGAAAAACATAAGTAAAGTGAATCCCACTAGGCAAGCTGTCATATTTAGAAAATCAATGGTATTAAAAGTTATAATGATGAAGCTATTGTAGTCATTTTATATACATTTTGGATGCTATCACTTCTTAATGATAAGAGAGTTAACATAAACTGTACAAAATGGTTTTAATACAAAATAAAATAATAACTGGAAAAAAAATGACTGTGGGAAAGTTATCAGTTCAGCTGGAGTGAATGCTTAAAGGCTGCTTGCAATTCTGACAGTCTATGATCTAATGAACTGCCCTCAGGAAGCCTCAGAAGATAGGGCTAAGTGCAGAGCTTCCACATCTATCGCTCTGCTGAGGAAGAGGCTCCCACCACGATCTCTGGCACTCTGGTCAGGGGCAGACTCACCGCCCTGAGCTGGAAGAGTAGCCTGCGGTCGGAGGAGTTGGGCAGGACGGCGAAGGCTCGGATGTCCATCACTGGCGTGAGAGTCACATTCCCAGGGGTGAAGGTCAGGAGCGGTTCTGACTCGGGCAACGCCTCAAGTTCTACCTCCATGTTGGGGTACAACTTGGCCAGCTGGAAAGGGAGCAGACACTCAGAAGACAGCAGGAGACACGCCGAGGGGGCTTTGAGATCCACAGGGGGAGACCAAATGGTGGGTCCCCAAGGAGGGAATCTCTAGGAGCCTTGTTCAGTTCATCGCAGGATAGAGGACTTACATTTTCCAGAGCTTCTTTCCAAATGATAGCTGCTGTTGGAAGGGACACTTTGATAAAGTGTTGGGGTGGGGGAGACACCCCAAGGGGACTGTTTGAGTTACAGTGGGTGGTCACCATGCTACCTTCCAGGGTCAGCTTGCCTCATCTGGTGGGCAAGTTGGGGGTTGGGGCCAACCTGCTCTTTTCCACTCTGCTGGTACCACTTTTCAGCTGGGCTTCCAACTAAACATCATACAAATATTGATGGTTATTGGCTCAGTCCCAAATTATTAGTCATCTAAATTCTTCCCGGGTGCCTGGGAAGGTCTTAGAACATTTGCACTAGTTGAATTTTTTTTTTTGTATGTGTGTGTGTAATGTATTTAATTTATTGTAGCACTGGGAATTGAACCCATGAGTTCTCTACCCCTGAGCTACAACCACAGTCCTTCTCTTTCTTTCTTTCTTTTTCTTTTGTGGGGGAACAGGCTCTCACTAGGTTGTTCAGTCTGAACTTCAACTTGTAATCCCCCTGCCTCAGCCTCCCAAGTAGTTGGGTTTATAGATATGCACAATTATACCTGTCTCGGTTAAGTGCTTTTATCTCCTATCTAAGCAACCCAGTCAAGTAGACACTATGGTTTATCCCCATCTGAGAAATGATGAAACTGAGGCCCACCAAGATTGGATTCCAAAGCTGGAAACAGCAGATTGAGGATTCAAATCCCATCGATCCACATCCAGACCTTACATCTTAGTGCAACAAGAAGTCAGAGGATGATAGAAATTTTATACAACGTATTAGTTTAGTGGATTTGACTTTTCCCCACTGTTATCATAAGTGAGCTGTTTGTGTACACACGACTCACTGATATCCAAATACACTCCCTGGATCCGGCCTGGGTCAAGGGGTGTGGTTTGCCCTCAAGTGGGATGAGTGGGCAGAGAGGTCCTACCTGAGGGATCAGTGCCTGCAGTGAGCTGGTATGCAGTAGAATTGGGGAGTTTAGGGGAATCTGCAGTAGGAGAAGCAGGAAGTTACTGGAGAAGCAGGACATCATGGTGGTTAGAGGTGTAGACTTTGAGGTCTGACATCTTGGCCTTAGATTCTGCTTCCGCCACTTTTTCGCTGACTCTCTGGCAGCCAGTCTTGTCAGATTCTTCAGCTACAAAAGAGGGACAAGGATAGCACTTACCTTACAGGTTTACAGATGAACTGAGATACTGCATGGCCAAAGTGTTCAGGATGGTGCTTGGCACATACCATGTGCTCAATGAATGTCTGCTGGTGTTATTTACCACCTCTCAGGATGACCCCTCAAAGGGTCACCCACAGCCGATCACCCTCACAATTGGACACTTACTATACTTTTCAGCATGGTTTCTCCTGGACTCCTTTTCTAGCTACCTTACACAGAGCCCGTTCTCTCCCTACCCCTGTGACTTGCTGTTCTTGGAGCTTGGGGGACCCTGTCCAGCCCTGCGAAGAGCCCCTGCTCCTTGATCCCTCCTTCCTCATGAGTCCTGAGCTGGCCTGAGCTGCAACTGTGGAACTTCTCACAGGGCTTGGCCATGAGGGTTGCTGCTCAGACCTCCTTCAAGCTGCACAGGGGTGGGGTCATTGCCTTCAGCTCTGCTCCCTTCCTGTGCAGACCTCCATGCTGGCCGTGCTGAGGTTACACGACCCCCAGATGGCTCCCAGCCCCTATGGAGCACAGCAGGGGGCAGGGCCAGGGGACTTGGTCACAGAGCACCCAGGTCCAGATGGTCAGTTACCCAGTTTATTAGGCTAGAATAAGAGGATGTGAATCTGGAAAAGATGTTGGCTTCCCACGTTCTGCTGTCCCTCAGGAATAACAGTGGCTGCATGTGTTACATATATGGGCCAGAGTAGGGCGCCAGCTTATTGCCAAGAGACCCTCCAAGGATGCCATTAAGGGTCATTTCTGAATGATCCTGGGGCACCAGAAGGAGTGCAGAAGGGGAAGGGCTAGGAGGGAAAGTGCTGAGTACTGAATAGGAACTGTTAGTGTCCACCTGTACAGATAGGGAAACTGAAGCTCAGTTTGGATTTCAGTCCACATTTGTTTGAGTCCAAATTCCACATTCTTCTCCAGCTCCCTAGGTGCCCAGTGAGAGCCTGTGGTCCCAATCCGAAGCTCTCTCCTGGGAGCCCGGCTTCCTTCCCACCCACCACTCACATGTTCATTTTGGATGACGAACTTCATGTACCCAGCCTGATGGTAAATCCGGCTGGCTGTGTTGAACGTATATTCGGAGACCGCCAAGTAGATCATGCGACTTGTGTTGTGGGGCAGCAGCATAGGGGGCGCTTCGAAAGGCACTGGTGAAGGATGGCTTTCGCTGAAGAATTCACCCTGGAGACAGAGGACTGATCAGTCATCCCCCCCCGCCCCACTGTCCTGGTCTGGCCAGAAAGGGTACTAGGCAGATGTGTGCAAGCCTGCTCAGGAGAGGCCTCTATGCTCTGATTGATCAGGTAGCTAGCCTTGACTACAGATTGGTAGGAGCCCCCTGTGTGGTAGGAGCTGGGTGGTTCCTCTCTGGAACATGAACCCAAGGGTGCTAAAGCTGTAGGTCCTAACAGCTGCCTCAAATCGCCCCGTCGGAGCAGCATCCCTTGAAGGTGGAGGGAGACCTAGGTCTCACAGCCCAGAATTTAGGAGGCACAGCCTATAGTGAGGAGCTTGGACTTTAGAGTTCCAGTGCCTGAATTAAATCGCGGGCTCTATTAGCTCTGGGACCTTGGGCAAGTCACCAACTTCCTTGGGCCTCAACTTCCTCATCTGTAAACTCAGGATGGGACTAACGATTTTTCTGCTTCACAGAGGTAGTATGAAATTTAAGTTATTATTTATAGAAATGATTGGAACTGACAAATAGCAAGAAACATATATGTGTTAGCTAAATAAATAAAATAAACAAAACTGGAGGGGCCGCATGGCCCGAGGGCTCCGCCCACAGTCGGGGGGGGGTACAGAATGAATGTGGGAACGGAGAGGGTTATGCTCATTTCCTATTGCTGCTGTAAGAATTACCATAATTTTAGCAGCTTAAAACAACGTAGATTTGTTTCCTTACCTGTCTCCAGACCTGTGCTTCTTCTGAAGGCTCCAAGGGGAGATCTGCCCTCTGTTCTTTCCCCCTGCCGGAGACTCTCTGCGTTCCTTGGCTTGTGCCCCCTCCCATCACCTCACCCCTAGGTCCTTTCTTTCTGTTCTTTTTCACCTGCCTTCTTCTTCTAAGAACCCTGTGATTATACTGGGCTCAGCTAGAGAAGCCAGGATAATCTCGCCATTGTCATCAGAAAGTCCTTAGTCACATCTGCCAAGTGCCTTTTGCCGTATGTGGTCACACTCACAGATGCTGCGAGTTAGGACATGGCTGTCTTAGGAAGCCATCATTCAGTCACCTGTAGGGATGGCGCAGATGGTAACAAGTACCACCTTACACATGCCCTCTGTGCAGGACTGGCTAATTGTTTTATGCACATCATCTCACTTAATTCCTGCAGAACCACAGGAGGTGAGGCTATTAGTATTCCAATTTCATAGCATCTCAGAGAGGTTAAACAGCTCTCCCAGGTTCCCCAGTGTATACATAGTGGAGCTAGGATTCAAGCTCAGGTATTGCAGATTCCAGACAGATTTATCATGTTGGTTCATAGCCCCTGTCTTAGGTCTTGGTGTGCAGTGCCTAATGCCACATCTACCTATTATAGGATGGAACAGGAAGGGGAGGAGCTGACTCTGGGAAGTGGAACCGATTTCCTGTCATCTCTGAGTTCCAAGGTCCTTTCTCTATAACCCCTTACCTTGAAGGGAGTATCCAGGCCTTCCGAGGTCACACAGGGGGCTCCTACCAATCTGTAGTCAAGGCTAGCAACCTGATCAATCACCAGGGTGACTGAGAGACAGGAAAGAGGCAGGCTATGAACAGAGTAGTCAAACACAGTTGTGCAAGTTGTATATTGTACATCTCCAGGGAACTTCATTCACATGAACTGTAGTCTTTCTAAAATGGAGATGGGGCTGGGGCTGATCCATGGTACTTTCAACCATAAAGAGACACTGTCTCATTCATTCATTCAGTATTTTATTGAGCATCTTCTATATGCCAGGCATAATGTAGGGGGCTGAAGAAACCACTGAGTAAGATAGTCAAAGTCCCAGTCCTCATGGAGTCCAGAAGAAAAACAGATAAATACTTAAGCAAATAAATGTACAATTGCAATTGTGCTAAGTGGAGGAAGGCCATAGGGTGATGTCATTCATGTAATATAGGGGCAGAGTGGAGATTGTTAACTGGCTTGGATATGGAGTCAAAGAAAATTTCCCGGGAAGCTTTTGCCTGGGCTGGGATCTGAAGGAAGTATATGCTGACTAGGGGAAGGGGTGGATATGGGAAGTCTCTCCTGGCAGAGGGAACATCAGGAGCAAAGATCTTGTGGCAGGAGCGGGCATGGAGTATTAGAGGAACTGATGAGCCCAGAGTGACTGAGTTTGGGTATCTCTGTTTTATTAAAGCAGTTGGAACACAGGAAGCACCTGCTTGTGATTCTCTGCCCACCTTGTGCTCCTACCAGACTTCTCCCCCTGGAACCTCCATTGCCAGAGAACAGACCTCTAAAACTATGCCCCCCTCCCACTCTGTAAGATGGAGCTGCTAGATGGGAAGAATTCTGCTAGACTTTCCCAGGAGGGACGTTTCAGGGGAAACTAGTGTCATGGCATCTGAGGGCACCCAGGGAAGCTGAAGGGGGCACTCCAAACCTGGCAGACTCCTGAGATAAGGCTCCAGGTAGGAAGTGGTGGACTTCCTGGCCATCTCGCAGATCTGCCAGAGGGGAAAAGAAAGCTGCTTAGTCCTCCCTCCACTGCTGGCCTGAGCAATGCTCCAGATCCCCTAGCTACACCTCCAGGAACCATGGGCTGCAACCCAGCCTTGGAAGTTCCGCTGAGTGTGTGCTGGGAAGGGTCAGGAAACACAGTGAAAAGCAAAAGGGGCCACTGTCCCCATCAATATGTAACACAGCAGGGCCAAGATTAAATCCTACCACTCATTCCCCGACCCCTTTGGCTCCTCTTCTTGCTCAGATCCTGAAATCTCTCCAGGACCTGGCACTGTGGGAATAAGAGGGCTCCATCAAGGAGCATGGCTTCTGATCTGCAGGCAGTGCTGACCAGGTCACTAGAGGGCCCACAACAAAACCAGAAGAGGGCTCAGCCCCAGAATCCCAGTTCTCATTGGCCACTAAGTTGTTCCTGGGTAAGTTTTGGAATTCCAGGCCGGAAGCCCCTAGCCTGGCACCTTCCCATCTTTAGCAATTCCTACATCCCTCCCCATCATTTTGCCTGTTCCAACTTGCCCCCCTCGGTTATTTACTTAATGTTTTCTTCATACCAGCTGGTCTTTTCAAACAGACATACATTTAATAAAAAATACAGAAACTTCATATTGCCCTTTTTAATGGAAACTCGTAGTCCCTGGCATAAACAGGATATAACTGGGAAAACAAATGTTGTACAAGGACTTGAAAAAAAAAAGTGTTCTGGAAGATTGGCTAGATGGTGCTGCCTAGTTAGTTAAGCCCCTCCTTGTTTGTTAGTACACTTGATCTTAGCCAAAAGGCCGAGAAGCGATTCCTCGTTTATTAGAGAGAGAGAGAGAAAAAAAAAAAGACTCAGGACATATTAGTCTCATGCTGAGACTTTTTGTCTTTGGCTTGAGAAGAGAAAGAAGACTGCAAAGAGAATTGCTTATTCATTGTCATTCTATATAATTTAATACCAAGGCTTCATATTGTTCGTTTCAAATCAACTCTGTGGGAAGTGTCTTCATTTGGAAAGCATTATTCTTGTGTAAGCCTGAAGGCAGCCAAAGGTTGCCTGGTGGACCTCGGCTGGCCTCCTTCCAGCGCCAAACCAGGAGAAGGCTGCCCAGGGAGCCAGCCCTCTCAGGACATGGTCTTATCTATCTTTCCCCCAAAACTCCTGGCCAGAGATGCTCTTTCTACAAAGCCAGCTGGGACCCTGCACTCATAACACTGTGGGAACTGAGGTCAGTGACTGCATGCATGGCTCAGCCTCCCTGACCCTTGCCTCGTTCCTTTGGACATAGAGTATCCAGATTTTTCTGGCCTATGTTTCCTACGTTTGAAGGGCAAACACCACAATCCACACGAGACCAGTAGAGAGCTTAGCTGGGTATGAAAATAACCCCACCCATTTATTTAGCTCTTAGTCCCTCCCAGGCACTTCTATCACATCTCTTGGTCCTCACAGCAAGGTAGATGCTATGATTACTCCTATTTATAGATAGGAATCCTAAGGCCTAGGGAGGTTCAGCTGATTATCTAAGACTTCACAGCTACAAAAGTGGCAGAGCTGGGATTTAAACCCAGAGCATCTAATTGCTGGACTGTGGCACAACACTGAGGAGTAGAGAGGGCCAGTTGTAGTTTTGAAACAGTAACAATGCTGGGTACTCCAAATACAACTTGAGTCCCAGGAACTCAGTGTGGTTATTTAACTGAACTCTCACCAACTCTCTTCAAGATAGAGGTCACTCTCCCCCTTTTACAAGTGAGAAGTCTGAGGCTCCTGTGAATTCACTGAGTTTCCCCAAGATAAGAGGGTAAATTGAAGAGGCTCCTGCCTGCCTCCCCAGTCCAAGTGCTCTCCAGGGGTGAGTGATCCCAAGGGCTATTGCCATTGCTGTTTTCAAAATGGTGCATGAGGTATGGATCATGTTCCTAGGGTGAGAAAGATAGCCTAGGTTTCCTCCTAAAATGTTTTAGGGTTAATTTTGGCATTTAAATCCTTGGACCACCTGCAGTTTATTTTTTTTTTTTTTTTGGTATGGTGTAAGAGAGGGATACAAAATAATTTCTCACCAATAGTTCTCTAATACTACCTGCACTTGGATAATCAAATAACACTTTGTCAGTTCCATTGAGCACAGACTTGGGAATTGACATGCTTTTGCACCCCTTGAAAAGATTTGTTTTGTTTTTTGAGACAGGGTCTCACTATGTAGTTGAGACTGACCTGGAACTCACTATGTATCCCAGGCTGGTCTCAAACTCACAGCATCCTCCTGCCTCAGCCTCCCGAGTGCTGATTACAGGCATGCGCCACCATGCCAGGCTTTCACGCAAAAAGATTTGGCTAAGCCAGTTCAAATGGCAACATACTTAAGAGAGAAGGCTCTTTACAAACATCCAATATGTAAATGCCAATGATTCTTATGCTAACTACCAATCTGCTACCTTCTGTTTACCTTTTGCTCCAAGACCATTTTGATATTGTTTTCAATTCTTTCATGGAAGAGGTTTAGGATCCAGCTAGAGAAAAGAGGAGAGAGGGTCAGGACACTTTTTTTTTTCTTCCTTGAGGTACCAGGGATTGAACTCAGGACCTTGTGCTTGTGAGGTGCAGCCCAACTGAACTAAATCCCCTGCCCCAGGATACATTTTATTACTAATCGAAGGCTGCCCATGGAGTTGAACTTTCCCACAGCCTGTCTGGGCCTTGGATGGCGTGAGCTTTCTGGCTGCTGCCACAGAGACCCCGGCTGGGCTCTCTGCTAGTCATGATTGGATTGTTGTTTCCAGAAAGACCTGCTCTTTTTACACCATGGGTACCCCTACAACTCTGAGTCAAAGTTCGAACACTGAAGCAGTCTGACATTTTCTATGGACCACAGGTGACATAAAGTCATCCTGGATTCCTTCCCCTTCTGCTTCTCTAAATTCAATCCAATCTCCTTCCTCACTTCTACTGACATCTCCTGCCATCGTCTGTCACCTACCCAACTGCCCCTGCCTGCTCTCTGTTCTCCCCGCCCTATCCACCCTGCCCTACCTAATGGCTTCTAAAGATGCAATCATTAAAAACACAAATCTGGTTATATCAGGTCCACTTCTTAAAAATCCTCTAGTAGGCCGGGGATTTAGCAAAGTGGGTGCCACTGCCTGCTTTGAAAGTGCAAGGTCCCAAGTTCAATCCCTGGTATGGGGAAAAAGAAATCCTCTAGTGGCTTCCCACTGATGTTTAGGATGAAAACTAGAGTCTGGCTCCTGCCCACTCCTTGACTTCAACTGATTAATCATCTTGTCCCATTCTTTCTAGGTACACTGAACTCCTTTTACTTCCTGGAAAGCACAAGCATTTTCATGCCTGGGGATTTTTGCACGTGATTCTGCTACCAGTAAAGCTCTCCTCTCCTCCTCCTCCTCCTCATCCTCCTCCCCTCTCCCCCTCCTCCTCCTTCTTTTTGGCTAGAATTCAGGGCTCATTTCAGATATCCTGTCCTTGAGAAAATTGTCCCCACTGCAGAGGCTGAGTTAGACCTGCACTCAGAGCACCTAATGAGCACGTTAATTATGAGGGTGCCTCATAATTATTCAAATACTTAAAATTGCACAGGGGTGAAGATCCTGTCTATTTTGCATTCTTTTGTATCCCTAGCATTTACTTGGCAAATAATAGGGGAGCGAGTCAATCAGTATATGAATGAACAAGTAAAGCTATAAACTCTCCCATTTTGGTCAAGACCATATTTTTGTTGTTTGGTGCAGGACCTTGCCATGTCTTATTATCTTCCTGACTCAGCCTCCCAGGCATGTGCCACTATGCCTGGCTAAAATGATTGTTTTCTGTAAATATAGAAGCCCAAACCACGCAGCAGCCACGATAAAAAAGCTGAAATATTTTGCTGCCCTCACTGAATCCGTGTGTGTGTGTGTGTGTGTGTGTGTGTGTGTGTGTGGTGTAGAGTATAGAATTTCACGGCACATGTCCACCTAATGAAAACCAGGCTCAGCTAAAGTTCTCTTTTCCCATAAGCAGCCTCCAGTTCAAGGCCCCTAATGTGTGTGTGCAGAAAGCTATGTCAGTTGAATAAATGAACAACTCACAGCCCCTGGACTCCCCCAGTACTAATTCACCTGCCACAGCAGAATTAAAGGTCTCCACATCTCTTGTGTACAGTTTGTTCTGTCACTGTGATGGATGGCATTGGTTATGCAATACATCAACTTCAGGCAAAGAGGCACTTGGATGTTTACTGTGTCCTCCTGTTGTTTCCGCCAGTTCCATTCTCTACCCATCTCACAACCAGAGATTCACTTCCCAAGCTCTCGCGCTCTCTGGCTGCAGGTTGTTTTGACTAATGGGAGGCAGAGGCAGAGAGGAAGGAAGGGGTTGGGGTTCATACATCCAAGTTCCTCCTCCTTCGTCATTGTGCCAGCAGCGCCGGGCTCTGTCTTGCTTCCTTCTCCAAGGTTCCAGCTCTTTCTAGGCACTGATACACCCTTCAGATGCTTTTCCCACTTTCAGCTCCAGGGGTGGCAATGGCACCCTGCTGTCCCTGGCCTCTGGATGCACCACTCTGCTGGTTTCCTTATTCCTGCCCACACTTGGGTTAATAGTCCTCTCATTAGATTTTTGTTGATCAAGTCTGTTGAATTGCCCTCCATTTCCTGCCAGGACGCAGGAGATGCAGTGACAATAAAAACAATATAAAAGCAGTCACCTTGAAGAAGTGCTGTCATGCATTCAGTGCATCCCCCACAGGTAGGCCACTTTGTGTGGGGCTGCCACCAAGCACACTCTTGCCAGAAACCTGTGCACCTCATGTCTCTCCCTTCCCTCCCTCCCTCCTTCCTCTCTTTCTTCCTTTACTTTCTCGCTCTTTTTTCTTCCTTCCTTCCCTTTTCTTTCCTTCTTTCTCTCTCCTTTCTGTCTCATTTCTCTCTCTCTCTCCCTCCCTCTCTCTCTCTCTCTCTCTCTCTCTCTCTCTCTCTCTCTCTCTCTCTCTCTCTCTCTCTCTCTCTCTCTCTCCTTTCATTTTGGACCTAAAGCTTTCAGGCAGGCATTGGCACCACTGAGCTAAATCCCTGGCCCCTGAGCCTTGATCGTGATCTTAAAATCTTGTTCTTTTGCTCCATTAGATGAGCTGGATTGGGGGGAGCTGGATGCAGAGGCGGTGCTGATTATCTCCAGTGGGTATACATGGGTCACCTACCTTAAGCTTCCAGAAATGTCAATGCTGACGTGACCAATGAAGTTGCTACACTGAGTCACCGAGGCAGTGGGCCGTCCAGACTGATCCTTGCCCAAGTTCAGAGAAACTGAGATGGAAATGCTGTATATCTTCATGTTAAAGGTGCCATGTAGGGTGCTGTTAGAAGAAAGGCAAAGCAAGCTCCTGTATAAGGACGGTTACTTTCAAGTAAAGCAACCAGAACACAGACCTGGGGTCCTACTAACTAACTGTGACCCTTGTCTGGGCTTCAATTTACCATGAATGAAAACAGCTAGTGTTTGTTGAGTATGCAACTTCCAGGCAGAGTGCTAAGTGCCTTATCTAGAAGTAGCTTATGCTAACCCCATTTCACAGATGAGACTAAAGCTTAAGCACAGTTGGATCTGGGTCTGTTACAGGTTACACATTTGAGACTCCTGAAATGGGATCCAGGAGGGAGGGTGTGCTCTGCCTAAAGGCCAAAGCTGAGTAACATCTTACCAAGTATTACTCACATGAATGCCTTGTTCACCTTCCAGCTCCCATCTATAGACATGTAGTTACTGGACAGAGAAGCCTTTATGCCCAGCAGTGGAAGTAGACTCAGATCCCAGTTCTGGATATTGAAGTGATGGATCTTCAGGCTAGGGAAGGAAGGCAGATTATCAAGCCCAGAAAAGCCGTGTCTGACCCTAAATGGGTCCCAAGAGCCCCCACAGCCTCCTACAGTCTCTTTCAGTTGTATTGACCTAAACCACAAAGACATCTGCTCACCTCCTGTGCGTCTTTCCAGGTCTGCTCAGGTCCTCCCTCCCAACACTCTGAGACCACAGACTTTTCTTCTTTGACGCCACCCCCACAGCTAGCTGCTCCCACCCCTGGTGATCTGACCCTCAGTGCCGCCAGGACCCTGTGAGCTGGCTTTGCATTATGTGTCCTGTATCCACAGCTGGGGTCTTCAGGGATCAGCTAGTCCTTTGCATTCTCTCCCCCATTGCTTCAAATAGGAGACAAAGGCTCAGGGCTGAGGATGCAGCTCAGAGGCAGAGCGTGTAAATAGCATGGGTGGGGCCCTGGATTCTATCCCAGAACCACTAAAACAACCAAACAGCCACAAGGGCTCACATTTTTTTTTTTTTTTAATGGGGGATTGAACTCAGAACCTTGCATTTGTGAGGCAGGTGGTGGCACCACTGAGCTAAATCCCCAGCCCTCAAAATTTAAATTAGAGATCACTCAGTAGTAATCTATGGGCTATATGGGGTCTACAGATCTACCTTTCCTTTCTTTTTCTTTCTTTCTTTCTTTCTTTCTTTCTTTCTTTCTTTCTTTCTTTCTTTCTTTCTTTCTTTCACTTCCTTTTTTTGGTGACAGGGTCTCACTTCAACTATGTAGCCCAGGCTGGCCTTGAACTCATGACAATCCTCCCAAGAGTTGGGATTATAGGCATGTACCACCCTGCCTACCTGGCTTTACCTTTCTTTTCCGATGTTGTGTTTTTTAAAAATGTAATCTAATCTAAAGTGTAAATGAGGACTAACATGTATGATAGATATTGTGAAATAGGAAGAAAAAGTTCAGAGGGGAGGGGTACATGGGAGGGGAGGAAAGAAGGGAAAAATGAGAAAAGAAGAAACAGAAACAAAGCTTTTGGAAGTAGGGGTGGAGGAGTAAAAAGGAGGAAAGGGAATGGAAAAAAAACAAGAACCAAGCTATACCATGTACAGATAAATGCAATCATAATGTATATCTAAAATGTACCAATAGACTTAATAAAAAATAAAATTGGGAAAATTTTACACGAAGAACATGAAAAAATAAACAACTGGAGTTCTGGCTTCTCTTTAAAAAATCAAAAGGGAATGTCACTGTTTGCTTTTACTTTCAGCATCAAACAATTGCAAGTGAATAGCAGATGCCCCTCTGGAGCAAGTGCTCCCCAGGTAAGCACTGCAAATCTTCCTGTGCTTATTTGTTCTCAGATCTATCCCCTGGCCTTCCCTTGCTTTGATCCATATTGAATAGGATGGACCTGTGCAAACTAGAACTCCTTGCAACAGGTTTCTAGTTAAGATTGGCCGTGGAAAGCACTCAAGGGGAGAGTAGTAGATGGCAAGAGAGATAAATCAGGATATTTCTTTTCCTCTCTGTCATCTTTAGCAATGGTTACACATGCACAGTGGGCCAGTTCCTGCCTGGAAACCTCTCCAGGGCTCAAGTTTCCCTAAAAAATGACCTAGGGTTGAGGAATGGTTTCTAAGGTTCCCCTTTTCATCCTGATAGCGCAGGAAACAAGCAGTCCTTTTGAGCAATTCCACAAAAGCTAGCTGTAACCCTCTATCTTTTGTTTTTCTTTTTTTTCTTTTTTTGGTTTTTTTGAGACAGGGTCTCACAATGTAGTTGAGACTGACCTGGAACTTACTATGTGGCCCAGGCTGGTCTCGAACTCACAGTGATCCTCCTGCCTCAGCTTCCCGAGTGCTGGGATTACAGGCGTGTGCCACCACGCCCGGCTGTAACCGTCTATCTTTAGTCCACTGCTGACTCCATGTTGATCCCCTTCCTCATGAGCTTAGCTTCCCATCCTTCCTCCTTGGCTGTGCCTGGAGAAAGGAGACCTTACCTGTGAAAATCGTAGCTCACCCATCCAACCCAACTGATTTTATAACTTCCTGATATATTAGACAGCACGATGGTGGACAGCTCCTTCTTCAGGGTGGCGACTGCAAATTGTTGAGCTGGGAGGAGGGAAACAGAAGGGTGTTTGAGTTAGTTATTTGGTGGGAGGCAACCTAGGTGGCCTCACTTTGCGATAACATACAGTAGGATAGAAAACAAGATGTGCTACTTGCTATCAATGCAATTCCTAGCAACTCTTTTAAACTTCCTGAGCCTCAGTTTTCTTACTAGCAAAATGGTAACCCTAATTCCGACCTGAGCCTGATAAATAGATCAGGATTAAAAAATGTCTGATAAACGGCAATCTTTGTTTTTTTATTCATTCAAAAAGAGTTGGAGCAAAGGTGGGGGATAGGGGGCTCTTAAGGAATAACTCAGTTTGATCAGACTTTCAGCCTTATCAGTGTGGCCAGTAGTGAAATGTCAGCAATGCAGATTCCCAGGCCTGGCCTTAGTCAATCCTGGGATCTGTATTTTAGCATATGTATATGTTTGTTTGTTTGAGACAAGGTCTTGCTACGTGGTTCAGACTGGCTTTGAACTCACTATGTAGTCTAGGCTGGTCTTGAACTCACAACAATCCTCCTGCCTCAGCCTCCTGAGTGCTGGGATCACAGGTGCATGCCACCACGCCTAACAGCAATTTTAATGTAAAAAAAGGCTAACCTACTTCCATCCTGTCCTCCCATATTCAAGAAGGAAAACTGAAGCCGAGAGGGTGACATCCTGCCTAAGCCAGGCAGTGGCTTTACCCCAGCCTGTGATTCATTGTCTTTGTGACTCCAGAACTCTGGTGGGTAGAAAAGGGCATCAGAAGAGGCAAACCAATCTTCTTACCATATTCCAGGCCTTTCCTGGTGATTCTGACCATGAATCCAGGATTAGAAGTCCCCTCTCCAAACCTGAAAAGCCCCGCCAGCAGCAATAGGGCCACTACCACACAGCATGGCCCGGCCTTCATCATTGTCCTTGGCTCTTTCCTGGGCAGAGGTCAGTCAGAGCTTCTTTGTAGGATCCTCTCTCACTGAAGGTGACAGCAGAGGCTGAGGTGCCTATAAAGCCAGGGGACAGATGAGGAACTGAGCCTATTGGGAAGTGGGTTTGGAAGTGGGACTCTGGGACAGCCTAGTTGCCAGCAATGTGAGCTACGGAGAAGTTTGCTTGTGAAATCGTTTCAGGTTTATTTTTGGCTTGAGAGCAGCAGAAATGGTGCCACACCTCCAAATTCTTCCTCTTTCAAGCTTTCCTGCTCAACACTGCCATAGGAGCCTCACCACAGTCCCTCTCCCCAGCTGAATGACACCCATTCATTCTGTCTTATCTATGTATGGAAGTCTAAACACCCAACCCAGCAATGAGGGTCACCATGAACCTCTCCAACTGGATCTTCCAGTGCTCCTAATCCTGCCTAAGCTCTGTACTCTGGCTCTGCTGGAATCTGCCGGTATCCTCTGTTCTCTACTTACTCCATGAAAGGCACCTCGGGTCAAGTCACAAATACAACAGAGGCATTCCACACCTCTAGGCTTTCAAATACTTTACGATCTCTTTCCTATGTTTTATTTTTTCTAGTCAGCGTTCTTCAGGTCTAATTTATATGCCATAAAGTGCACACATTTTAAGTGTACAGAACCATGAGGCTTGATACATGCATGCACCTGTGTGATCACACTGTAATCAAAGGATAGAACTGGCCACCACCCCAAGAAATTCTCCTGTGCTTCTTTTCAGTCACCTCCCTCCTCATTTCTACCCCAGAAACCACTGCACTGCTTTCTGTTATCATAGATTGATTTTGTCTGCTCTAGAACACGTTCCTGTACATGGAATCATGCAGTATATGTTCTTTTCTGACTGGCTTCTTTCATGCAACATTATGTTTTAAAGGTTTATCCATGCCATTTTGTGTATTTATAGTTCTTTTTTAGGGAGAGTGTTTTTTGAGACAGGGTCTCACTACGCAGTCCAGACTAGGCTTTAACTTACTATGTAGCCCAGCCTGGCTTTAAACTCAGTGATCCTCCTGCCTCAGTCTCCTGGGGGCTGGGATTTCAGCTGTGTGCTACCACACCCTACTCTGTATAGATCTTGTTTATAGCTGCGTATAACTCTATATAATAGCTAGAACAATACTTTTAGTTTATCGTATTGTACTTTTATCAAGTAGGAAGCACATGCACATGGTTCAAAAAGTCAGTCAGCATAAAAAGATGTGCAGTAAGGAATAATTTATTGCAGTTTGATCAGACCTTCAGATTTATCACTGCTGCTGGGGTGACATGTTAGCAATGCTGATTTCCAGGCCCAGCCGTAGTCAATCTTGGGTGGATCCCTAGAGCCTGCATTTTAATATACTGTATGTTCTAGCAATTTGATGTAGTGAACAACATCACAGTCATCTTTTTTGAGTGTGTGTGTGTGTGTGTGTGTGTGTGTGTTTCCCCAGTTCATATCTCCATTGTATTAAATCAAGGTAAAAATCTGCTAAGGTAAATGCCAGCAGACATCAGAAGTGCTTTGAGGGCTTACATTTTAGTGTTCATGGGAACACACAGAGCAGTTAAGCCAACAGAGGTGCTTGGGTATGGTTTTGAAGCATGAGTAGGAGCTTGACAAAGAGATGTAGAAAGGAAAGGTATTCTAGACAGAGAGAGCAGCGTGAGCTAAGACGTGGATGTGTAAAGCTGTCCATTCCAGAAGGCCCAAGGGACTGTGGGAGAGTCAAGGGTGAGGGACAGGATGGGATGGGTTAAGAGAGAAGGGAAGAACAGTGACATCTTGAAGGCCTTTTTAGCCAGTCCCTGTTGAAGAATAAACAGGAGAAGGTTTTAACTTTTCGTCGACTGACATCTCCTGAGTTCTGTTGAAATCTCCCGCTCCCTTGGGTCAGTGAGCCCTTTACATCTCACCCTGATTCCACTACTTTGTAGTCACCTTTGCCTTAAGGCTTAGTCCTGTTCACGTTAAAATTGCATCGCATATTCTATTTGTGCTTCTCTCTCTCGGCCCTCAGGCAGGTGAGCCACAGCTCTAGGGTCTTGGAGCATGTGTGTGTGCGTGCATGTAGGAGTGCATACTCTCCCTGTTGGCTCTCTCTTTCCCCACCACCTTCCCTGCTCTATTCCTTTAAGGAAGACCCCCGCCTGCCCCCATAAACTCTCAATTTTTTTTCCTTTTTATTGAGCTTATTGGTACAATCTAGGTACACAATACAATCACATTCACCATTGGGATTCTGTACCTTTACATAATAGGTCTTGATTCTCATTTTTTCCCCTTGTCCCTGCCCTCCCTTCACC